AAATATTTCTCATACTAGACCTTGTAATTTTTCTTAATCAAAAACATTACTATTAGCTCTTATTTTAACCATAATTAGTTAAAAATTTTAAATAAATCTAATATAAATAAAATGTTATTCTTCAAAAAATCATATATATTTATCAAAAAAAAAAAAAGGCTAAAATGGTCAGGTTAAATCTGAGATCGTGAATAATATTTTTTGATCCTTATTGGACATTAAGATTACCATTGTTGATCCTGTTTTGTGATGATCGTAACGATTAGCACAGTAAATATAAGATTTATTTCTATTCTCTGATTACTCATTTTTTTTATTGCATCAAAACATCCTAACTAAATTTGTATTAAAAAATATGTCCAACGAAGATAAAACCGAGTATGAATTTATAGGTTCCCAAAACAACGTCCGAGTTCTTGTCTAAGTTCCTCAAGCGTCATAGTAAAAATGTGGGTCCTTCTTGAAGGTTCACCGAGAGCTAGGAAGTTGAATGTTGATATATCTATAGCTTATGACTTGGACGATTTTGTATATATTCTTCAAGAGGAATACGAAGAGTTAAGAGCTGTTAGACTGCAAAATATCGTAATCTTAAATAATAACACGCAACTTCCACCAGATACAGACTTCCAAACTCTAACTAAGACAGCAACAGCCAAGAACTCGCTCGTTGTTCGCTATCCTCTTTCAGATGTATGCAGTAAGTGAGGTTTATTTTCTTGGCTTTGTTTTTCCATTTCAAGCAAATACTTATTAGTTTCCTTCAAATGCAGTTAAGGTGACACTCGTGTACGGACAAAGACGAACCAAACGCGAAATATCACATACTAGTGGTTCATTTATCCTTTTGAAAGCTCTCACTAGAGAAATTTTCACAGAATTGGAGGGAGAAGAAATATACTTTGTAAATAACGGAATGGATATTTGGGATGTATATAACTTTAATACTGTAATATTTCAAACAACACAAGATAATAACAACAACGTTACGCTAAAGTTAACTGTTAAAATCAAGGACAGAAAAAGTATAGTGATTGGAATATCAAAGATGTGTTTAAGGATATATTAGGACGACCGGATTATGAATCCCTGGGTGATATGCCAAGATTTAATCTTGATGAACTTCCTCCGTTAAGGCATCCATTCTCTCAGGAAGAGGTCAATAAATTCTTTGGGGAGCTTAAAGGTCATCTTAAGAATATCCAGAAAGAACTTGACAATGAGTCGTCAGCTCGTTACATTATTGATACTTTCTTGTCAGCTGCAGTTTCCCATATACAAGATTTCGTAAACGGCTCAGTACGGTTAGGTTTTGAAAAAGGGAAGTCGTGGGTATGGACCCATTGACTATGTTGTAAAAAGGATTGAAGTTTTTTTGGTGTTACGTGAAGCAAAATTGGAAGACATGAAACAAGGAATGGCGCAAAATATTGTACAAGTGCACAGTGCAATGGAACGACTATTGAATTCCGGCCAAGCAGAACCAGCAATGTATGGGATAGTTACAACTGGAAAATTATGGCGATTTATCCGCTGGACTGGATCATTAGATGAACCGGTTGTTCATATTTCCGAAGAATATACTTGCAATCTTACTGGTAACTTAGAAAATGAAAAAGAAATGGTAAAATATATTGCGCTGATAATACAGGCTCAAGTTACTGCATTTTGTGATCATGATAATAAAAAGAACTTCCATCCTTCAAAACTCCTATGTACTGGTCAAGGAAATGATAAATGAAAGGATTTTTATTCGTTATTTTTGCACATGCTTTCATGCATTAATACTGTGGGTCTTTCAAATTCAGGTTGATTTAGTTATGATTTTAGCGTTTATTGAAAATTTTTAATAAAGTTTTTTAATCACAAAAATATATCAGCTATTTTGAGTAATAAATTTCAATGCACGACACCTTTTTGTGGGATTCCTTTTTTTTACCTTACGTTGTATTTATCGAGATCTTTAAAAATTTTGTTTGATGGATATTTTTTTTTTTTTTTTACTTGACTTATTTTGAAGAAGCTAACAAAGAAGCATTTTAATTTTCGACGATGACTTATGAAATAGCGTCAATAAGTGTTAAACAAAAAAATAAAAAAGGAGCAAGAAAAAAAAAGAATTCGCTTTCTTTTCGAGTGAGAAATCTTAAATTTTTATTTTTTTTTATGATTAATCGACTAGACTTTTTTTTTTTTTTTTTGCATTAATTAGAACCGACTTTTAAAAATTCAAAAATTATAAACATTTTATTAGAATTTTCATTATTCTCATTAATAAAATTTATACTTAAAACAATTAAAAATTTTTATAATTATTATTGACATTTCTCTCTTTAATAGATATAAATTACATTTTATTGATATTAATGTGTTTGATCGAAATTTAATACCATTTTCACCATCCCAATACATTACATATAATTTATTATTTTGAAATAAATTTATATTCATTTTTATTACGAATTTTAAAAGAAAAATTATTTTGAATTAACAAATATCATAAACGAAAAAATAATAAATAATGGTTTTTATCGATTTTGATCTCGTTCCTAATAAACTAAAGATAAAAAAAATAATCAAGTTAGATTTACAAGATAAAATTTTATACATTTTTAAATGTTCCTGTTAAAAAAAAAAAAAAAAACATGGTTTCCCTAGATAAACGCCAAAAGATCAGCACGGTTAGGAGCCGACGCATGATGACTGAACTGGGACCAGAAACGGTTAAACGCAGGTTTTTCTCTCGCAAGGAAAGAAAAATATTTTTATCTCTCGAAGAGAAGAAAGTTTTTATCTCTTTAAGAGAAGAAAACAATACATAGCGTTCTGTACATATACACAAAAACTCGCTTCGTCGAAATTTAAAAAAAAATATTACTACGTAAGATACAAAAGTACTTACTTATTGGTTTTCTTTTGGATTTTTTCGTAAAAATTTCTTTCGATTTTTGTAAAAAAATAAAGGTCGTAAACTAAAAGATAAAAAAATAATCAAGAAAAAAAATACGCTCGGGGATAATAAAATATATAAGGAAAGGGTAAAGGAAAAAGTACAAATTTTTGTGAGGTGAGGTGGAGAGTATTAATAATAAAATCAAAGGAAAAAAAGATGAAATTACACTCGGGGATAATAAAATATATAAGGGAAGGGTAAAGGAAAAAGTTAAATTTTTGTGAGGTGAGATGGAGAGTATTTATAATAAATCAAGAAGGGTAAAGGAAAAAAAGTTGAAATTTTTGTGAGGTGAGATGGAGAGTATTTATAATAAAATCAAAGACGCGTAATGTGGAATGTTTTTGTTTACATCAGTTACTGATTCTAGAGACGCGTTATTCTTTATTGTTACAACTAAATTTCTAAAAATAAACTATTGAGACGCGTTATTATTTAACTCATCATGATTAATGATTTCTTAAATAAACTATTGAGAGACGCGTTATTATATCTAAAAATAAATCATTGACTGACGCGTTATTATTTACTGCTACAAACTCTGATTTTTAAAAATTATTGACACGTAAATGAAAAAGTTTTAAGGAAAACTCTATTAATTTTTTATTTTATAAGAAAGGTAAAGTTAAAAATGAGAGTATTTATTAAATTTATTGCATAAAATAGAAATATGCTGATATATCGAAATCTTATTCCGTTTGAAAAACTTTGGTAAGATACGCATAAATCTTCATCGGGAAATTTATGGATTTTTTTTTAAAAGTTGCTAACCCCGTCCTCTTTTCTCCTTTATTTTTTTTAATTATTTTTTTTTTATCTTTATCTTTTCTTGTCAACCAGGATTACGAAAATTAACGAATTTATATAATGAACTTGTGATTTTTACATATTTCTTAATACAGAGTATCCATCTTTGAACCGAGAACTTTCAACAGGAATTAAACTTCAACCTGATTGAAATTTTTTTTTTTTTTTTAAAAAAAAAGGACTTTGTGGCATTTAATTAGGAAAACATGGATGATTTTTATAAACCTCCATATTCATCAGCAGCTTCAACGATACCACCAGTACCACCTCACCGTCAAGTGCACCATTAAATCAATTACCGCCAAAATTTAACGCAATATTACAAACAATTTATATCCATATTAAATCAAACGCCCTGACGTTATAAATTACTTGGTTGGATTGCCAAATGTTAACATTGGCCTACGGTGAATCGGTATTAAGCTGCTTCGTTGGGAAATGTTGAAGTTGTTAAAATCTTGATGAATGCTAATGTTAACGTTGAATGTTGTAATAGAGAAAATGCAACCTCTCTTATCATTGCGGCTTATAATGGTCATGCTGATGTTTGTTGTGAACCTACCGATCACGGTTAAGCCAATGTGAATTTTCAAGATAGTTCTTGTAAAACCGCTTTATTATTGGTTTCCTATGAAGGCTATTGAACCGCTAAAGTGTTACTAGCTCAAGGTGCAAGTGTGCACATTTTAAACAAGGTGCGATCTCAATTTTTTTGTCTTTATTTGTGATCTTTATTAATTTCTCTTTATCTTTAAAATAAAAAAATTAAATGTATTGACGGATTGCGTTAATGCTCGCTGCTATTTCTAACCGTGTAGAAATGTGTCGGTTGTTGTTGGAGCATGATGCAGACAGATCCTTACGACGTTGGACATTTTGACTTGGCAAATATGATCGAGAATAACGTTCCAAGCGGGAATAAAAATAACAATTATTATAATCATAATTATATTATTAATTATAATAATGAACTAATTTCGCCTTCCCACATCCATACCTCATCGTTCGAGTGGAATATCCTTTCAAGGAGTACCAGGGAGAGGTTTCTTACAACGATACCGCAACACCCAATTGAAAAGAATATTTTGATTCAAAACATTTATCCAGAGATTCCAATCAATAATACAAAAGGATATTTGATGCCATTAAATCGTAAAGATTCAAGACGAATAATTCAACGTAAGAATACAGATCTTGTTAATTCTCAATATTGTCATAATATTACGAGAACAATAATACAGACGATGAGAAAAATCATGTAAAGGCAGCACCACATTTAACTCCTTCGGTATTATTTTCATTGGCAGTCACGGCATGTTTTTGTAATCCTTGCCTTTTCACCATTGGTAAGATGAAAGATCCCAATGTCGTCAAGCTTGGCGTGAAAAAGTGGCTTTGGTGGTTATTATATTATTAATTTCATAATTCATGGGATTTTTGGCATTCGGGTTGGCAACCATCCTTTGTGGAATAAGGAAACAAACATTTTTTAAGGAAGATGTATTTGAAAAATTTGGAATCGGGTCATAAGTTCATATTATTCATGGTAAACTCTATAAAACTGGACAATATATTATTTTTGGTAATCGCCGTCCGTTATCGCCTCCTATCGAAGATAAAAAATTAGAACCAATAATATTTCTAACGTTTGGACAAGATATCTCGGATTATTTTCAATGTCCTTTTGCCCCTAAATGATGGACCATTTGCGATAGGGCGATTGAAACGAAAAATCCATTATTATGTTATCATACTTCCACAGATTAAAGGAACTCGATATGAAAGTAAGCGTTTCTTGTTCATGGCAAAATATATCCAAAGCTAACACCACCTTATTTGTTTATAGTAATAAGGTATATGATTTAGGAAACTATCTTGATCCTTTCAAATGAGGATAAGTTGCTTGGAGAAGATAGCGTTACAGAATGGCTTCGAGGTCTCCTCGGTAAAGATGCAACAAGAGAGATTCTTCATACAAGGAGATATCAAAATGTTTACATTAATTTAAAGCAGGAGACGTTGAAGGAACAACCGTCGAATAGTATAATGACAGTCTTATTCGCAGGAATTCTTAATCAAATTCATTTCCATATAGCATTTGATTGGTTTCTATCATGGCAGCTTGGTAAAATATCGAAGAAACCAAAACCGATAATACGACATCACACATTTTTATTAGTCACGTGTTATTCAGAAGGTGAACATTCAAATGCGCACAACACCTGATTCATTGGCCAGTACGGATTTTTCTGACAAGTTCACAAATTATTAATGGTAATAGCTGATGATGACATAACCGGATCCGATAACGATAAAACAACTCCGGGATATGCGAGGATTTAATTGAAACATTCAATTTATCTAGTTTCGAGTTTCCGATACCACAGTCATATTTAGCCATAGGAGAAGGTAAAAAGCAACACAAATTATCGGATATATAATTGTAATGGACATCATGTTCCAAAGCGTTTTATTAATAAAGATGGCACACCAGAAGAACGAAAAGGGCTTAAAGCCGGTAATCGTGGTAAACGAGATTCACAGCTTATATTAATAAAATGGCTTAGCAATATATTTTTTAACGAACGTATGACACCATTGGAATTCGAATTATTTGAAAAAGTACGAACATTAACGGGAGTAACGCCTTATAAATAAATGATACTTTTGATTGATGCAGAAACGCTAGTATGAAGGATAGTAGCGAATAAGAAAACGAGTTGGATTACAATGATCCAAGTATTTGAATATTATGCTTCGCATAATCTTGGAAAAAACCTTTGAATCAATTTTTGATGGAGTAACCTGTTTGCCAGGTATTGTATCATATCAAAGCACCAAAATAATGGATATTCCGTTCCCATACTCGCAAATCCTATATAGAATTATATTCTTCAAACACCGTAGAAATGTTACATTAAAAAATTTATTGCTCCTTGGAGAAGATAGGTACTAATGTTTCGGGCGAAACTGTTTTGCAATTGGCGAAACGTTTCGCCTATTTTAAATTTCGGTTTCGGCAATTGCGAAATTTCCGAAACCTGGAGAAACTAAAATTGTCACGTGCGTGATTTAATTGGTGGATGAATTTTGCGTTCTTTCTTGCGAAAAGATTTTTTAATGTCCAAGATATGCAACGCGTTTAATTGTAATAAATTTTTTTATTTCTTTTTGTTTATCCCTTAACTCAAAATAAGCAATTGTCATCTTTTAATTATGTCTACACAAGATTTTTTCTTCTCTAATTCTTCTCCTAACGCGACTTTACCTTCTCAAAGAAAAAAAAAAAATGGTGGTGGTCGAATCTTTACTCTTGAGGCGTCCCACTTTATTTAACTAACCCTTTAATTTGTAGTTTCTTCACGCAAGCATAATCACCATTTGGCAAGATAGCTATGCGATCATATCGATGGTTGATTTTTAAAAAGTCGAGTATAATAAATGAGCATTCATTTGCGAGCGTATAACACGATAACATATCTCACAACAGGAATCTTCAATCAAAACCAGTCTGATCAAGGTTTCACTTTTCCTTCAAAGCTTAAAAGGCAAGATTGCGCAAGTTGAAATATCATAATTGAATAAAAAAGTATAAATCAAAAGTTTACTTATTAGTAAATGCTTGTGCTATACCTCACAATAATTAATAAAAACAATCTGAACTACCTCTGGAGATTTTAATCACAACTTTATTGTGAATTAGGGAAAATAAACACATGAACGGTAGAATAGTTGTTGAGCGAACAGACAGATTTACATTTCCTCTAGAAGATTCTTTTTTTTTCAGTTTTCACAGTGAGCGTTAATCTTTATCAAAACAAAATAGTAGGCATATGAGCATTAATATTGCAACTGAACATTTCCAGAACATGAAAATTATATATACCTTTTAATCTAACAGTCTCACGAACTTTCTTGTCATTTGGAGATATTTCCTTTACTATTATCATATTAGTTATCATTTGCACATTACTATCAAGATAACAAGTTTTAAGTTTTAACATAAATATATTTTCAAAATTTCAATAACATAAAATGCAAATGCATGCAGTGACGTATTTTAGGGTTTTAAAATCAATTCTACTTTTTGAATGAAAATATTTATAATACTACTTTTCAGTTTAAAATAATAATTCACTATATTTTTTATAGTATAAAAAAAATGTTTAAAATAGTACTTGTTAAATAATTTGAATAAAAAGATAAAAAGTAAGAAAAGGTAAAATCATTGGACAAAAATTTATTATTTTAATTATGCGAAGATCAACAATTTAAAAGATTTTGAAAATAGAAAAATATTGAGTAACTAGCTATTCTCAAGTATACTCTCACAACATGTAATATTAAATACTATTATAACAATAAGTTTCTAATAAAGTAAATAAATGAATTACATTCATTCCATAGGATGCTGAAATCTTATTTACCCATGTTATGATAGATGTTCTGGCTAAAGGTTTCCATGTTAGATTAGGATTAGTTATTAACTTTGTGAAAATAAGCTTTATTATCTTAATTCATACCCAGAAGCAAAATGTCAGTAGTTATTTAATCTACTCAAACATTTTATTTGATTTTATACTACCTACTTCTAAAAAATCTTTTCTTTAAAATATTTATTTAAATTCTTAACTTTTTTATAAAAAAATAGATTTCCTAAAAAGAAAGTTTGATTTTTTTTATTCATAATAATAAATTAATATTTTTTTTTTCTAAAGTATGAAAATTATTTATTAAGTATTTTTCATAATTGAATTTTTTTCTAAAGCATTTTTATTAATATAAAATAAAATGTATTTTTGAAATATTTACTTTAACACTAAAATTAATACATAATTAATATGATCAATTTGCTTAAATTTAGTACATATAAATTAAATTATTAATGATAATAAGAACAAAAAAGTAAAAATATATAAAGATATATTTAATGTAAAATAAAATTTTAGAAAAATGAAAAAAATACAAAAAAGTTATTCTTATTGTATTTCTTACTACTTTTTACTTTCAATTCTACTTTTAAATTCATTTTTCTAATAAATCAATTTAATAAAATACAATTATTTACATTTTTATTTTTTTTTACTCCTGTTAATACTATTTGAAATTTGAAGAAATAAATCATTATTTTTACTATTATACTTTAAAATTTATTTATAAAAATATTTTTTTACTCTTTATTATGTGTTAGATAAAATATTTTTAAAATCATTCTATTATTATAGTTACTATAAATTAATAATAATAGTTTATTACCAATTTGTTAAATTTTAAAATATATGTATAAGTTTTAAAATTCTCATTTAAAATTTCTAAAAAAAGAGTTTATAAAATTTTGATTAATATTATAAAATATTTATGTTCAATAAATAGAAAATATAAAATAAAAAACAGTTATTATAACTGTTTCAATTTAAATCAGTAGTTATATAAATACAAAAGCTTTTCTATCTATATTTAAGAATTAATTTCTTTTATGAATTTAAAAAAAAAAGGAAAAGTAAAAAATTTTAGCTCTTTTCTTTAATAATTAATAAATAAATATAAAAAAAGTTGTTATATTATTTATATATTTTTTTAGCAGTCAGATAATCTTTCTTTTTTATATAAATATTCTATTATATATAATTTATATTTTTATATTATACTTATATTTATATTTAAGGTTATTAATAAATTATGCAAATTGCATTAATACTTAAGTTTTTTCTGTAAAAAATAAAAAGCTATTATATGAAACTTATCTTTTTTGAAGAAATCAAAAGTAAATAATTAAAATTTATGATGCTATTATATTAAAATATAAGAAAAATCTGCTAATATTATATTTTATCCTTATGATTAAATATTCTTAAAAGTTATTGATTATTGCAAATTTTATAAATTATTAATACTTAGAATATTATATAGATATTAAAAATCTTAATTAAATATATAAAATAACAAAGTAATAAATATTATAATGATATTATTTTAATAATTAATTTATGTAAAAATAGAATTTATGATTTAATTTTCTTATGTAAAAAAGAAAAGCTTTAATATTTAATTAGTTACATTGTTAAAAAAATAATCAATTAAATATTATAAAGATATATTTTTTATAATATAAATTATATTTAATTATAGTTTATATTAGCTAAAAAATAAAAATATATAAATTACAATATCAATATTACAAAACCAATAAGAATATTATTATAAGATTAGTAAGATATTTTATAAATAATTGCAAATATTTCTTAATAAAGAAAAAGATAATGATATTTCATATTAAATATTTAAAAATAAGACTGATAACTTTTTATATTTTTTTATCTCTTATCTGTAAATTTAGATAAGTTTATTATTATGATTATATATTATTTAATTAATAAAAAATAAATATTAATTTTTCTTTTTTATTTAATCTTTCAGATTTCATAATACTATTATTCTTTATAAGTAAAAAAGAATATTAAAATATATGTTAAAGAAGTATTTAATATAATGATACTGAACAAAACTAAAATATTTAGTTATATAATAAAACTGAAACTATTTAGTCTTTAATAATTAAAATGGTAAAATGCTAAAACTTTATTTCTATAAATTTTTATAAATTTTAACTTATAATTTTTAATAATATTTTATTTTATTATAAATTCTAAAAATTTAAATTTTTATAAATAAAATATTATTTATTATATTTTATTTACTATATGAGAAGTTTAATAGAAAAATTGAGTTTTAAAAAATATTTTAACTAAATTTTGATTTTTATTGCATTTTAGTTTTTAATATTATTAGATTAAATATAATAAAATTTTAATTTTAGTCAAAAAATTCTCAGAGTCTGATTTTCTTAGTATATAAATAATTTTTATCTATAATATTAATTAGTAATATTTTTTGATTATATATTTAATTAATATAAATAATAAAAGATTAGAACTTCGAACAGGTCAGTTCAGGTCAAGTCAATCAAATTACCTGAACTGAGAGAATCAGGTCAGGTCAAACAAAAATCTAACCTGATTTAATAATAAAATCATCATTTTTAAATGACAAAACTATTATTCTTGAATGATAAATTATCATTTTTGAATGATAAAATCATTGTTTAAATGTGATAAACTATCCTTTTTGAATAATAACAAATCATTCTAATTAAGCGATAAAACTATCATTTTTGAATAATAAATCATCATTCTTAAATGATAAAACCATTATTCTTGAACGATAATAAATTGTTCTAATTGAATAATAAAACTATCATTATTGAACAATAAATCATTATTTTTGAATGATAAAACTATTATTCTCAAATGATAACAAATCATTCTAATTGAATGATAAAACATTATTCTCAAATAATAAAATATCATTTTCAAATGATAAAACTATCATTCTTGAATGATAATAAATCATTTTAATTGAATGATAAACATCATTTTTAAATGATAAAATCATTATTCTTAAATAATAAAACCATCATTCACGAATGATAAATTATCATTCAAATATGATAAAACATCATTCAAATATGATAAACTATCATTTTCGAATGATATTGAATCGTTCTAATTGAATAATAAACTATCATTCAAGAATAATAATTGGTTAACCTAAATTTTGTTAGGTCAGGTCAGATCAGCTATCTTTTTTAGCAGATTTTT